TATAAACTTTGTAAGTTTTTAAATTTATATTAGGTCTATAGCATGGTGTATCTTTATTCAATTTATTAACAAAAGTTCTATGTTTAATATAAGTCAGTTTGTCGTTGTACCGTTTTGTTGTTGTCCATCACTTTATTTTAATGAAAATTATAATAACAAGAACTCAGATAAACCGTATATTGCTGTAGTCGTGTGTTTATTAGTCACGTTGAATCAATGAAAGCAGTTGAATCTTCTGTTTATCCAGCTGCAGCAATAGGCATTTTCTGGGTTTCTTCTGCGAGGCGTATTTGGAGTTTCAGCACGAGAGCGCCCTCTGGCCTTTGGATGGAGATTTACTGCTGATCACAGAGCCCTGCTTCACTGAAAGATACGCATGACAATCGCAGCTTCTGTCGAATCGCGATCTCGATTCTATTTCAATTTATCGTGCAGCCCTACGTTCATTTGTTGTTTACGGTTCTGCATATGACAGTATGAGGAGTAAAAATAGTTTTCAATGTTTGTTGGCACTCTTTCAGAAGGGTTTAATTGATGTACTGATGTGGATTTGTGTGTTTTGATGCTGCAGAGGAGCTGGTGGATGGGAAAACCTTGCACCTGTTTGAGTCTGCGAATCAGAAGCTGACTGCGGCGACTGAAGAGCGGATCGAGTTTCTGCCGCACTACCATACTCTGGTGCAGTGTGGCATGTACGAGTACTACGCTAGTGAAGGACAGAAGGCGCTGCGTAAGTTTGCACGCTCACCTCTGCCATGCTGCCGCGCTTGAACACGATGCCAGTTTCTCTTTCTGTTGTGTTGCAGCCTATGCCTTCGCTGAGCTCATCGATAACGCGCTGTCAGCCACCGCAAGAAACACGGGAATCAGGAGAATTGAAATCAGATTGGTGAGAATTCAAACCCGAGTGAACTGTATCAATGTCATTGTTTTACATGCTAAATGTAGACTTACATTGACAGTAGTAATTAAAGATTAAGATTTAGTTTCGAAACGAAATGCAGAAGCGCCTGTTTGGCAATATTTTGGATTTTGAAAAGGCTGTTGACTTTTGCTGTTTATATATAAGGTGATTTTGTGAGTCTTTTTTTTTTTAAATTTAGTTTCTTATTTATTTGGTTCCACAGTGTTTGCAGATTTTTAGTGTATTTAAACTTTGTAATAAGTTCTATGTTTTATATATAGGCAAAGGGAGTTTGACATTGTATTTTGTTGTTGCATTCAAGCAATTGACGCCGAATTGCTGCTAATTCGAAAGTGAAAGTAAAATGCACACAGGCATTTACAAGCTATTTAAAAGCGAAAGAAAGCAAGGAAAAGAGAGAAAACCCCAGCGAATCATTCTGATATGCTGATTTGCTGCTCAAGAAACATTCTTTAAAAAAATAAATAAAAATCAGTCTTTGATGCATAATGTTTTTGAGGAAGCCACGATACATCTTTTCTGGATTTTTTTTTTCTAAATAAAAAGAACAGCATTTATTTGAAATGGAAATATTTTGTAAGATTATAAATGTCTTTACTGTAGCTTTTGATTTTATGTGTCCTTGTTGAATTTAAGTATTAATTTCTATAAAAAAGAAAAGTACTGATCCCAAACTTTTGAATGGTAGTGTACATATCACATTAGGGCTGTTAATTAATTGATTAATACAAACGAAACATAATAGATGGAAGGTCTGAGGCATTTAAATGTTAGATGCTCTATGCCTTATGTTTATTGCACACTTAATTAAGTTAAAAAGCATAATTTTCAGTTTATATCATGTTACTCAAATGATAATCAGCTCTATAAGCATGTATTATAGGGCTATTACATGACTTTCTTATTTATTTGGTTCCACAGTGTTTGCAGATTTTTAGTGTATTTAAACTTTGTAATTTATTTATTTTATTTCACATCAAGGTGTATGCCGTGCCTTTCTTATTCATTTTGCTAATAAATGCTCTGTTTCTTATTTATTTTATATATATATATATATATTTTAACGTTGTGTAAGTTTTTTTATTTTATATTAGGTCTATAGCATGGTGTATCTTTATTAATTTTGCTAATAAATGTTCTATGTTGCTTTGATTAATACAAACGAAACATAATAGATGGAAGGTCTGAGGCATTTAAATGTTAGATGCTCTATGCCTTATGTTTATTGCACACTTAATTAAGTTAAAAAGCATAATTTTCAGTTTATATCATGTTACTCAAATGATAATCAGCTCTATAAGCATGTATTATAGGGCTATTACATGACTATATATGACCCTGGACCACAAAACCAGTCATAAGGGTCAATTTTTTAAAATTGAGATTTATACATCATTTATACATCATACATTTATACAACTATTTGAAAATCTGGAATCTGAGGGTGCAAAAAAATCAAAATATTGAGAAAATCGCCTTTAAAGTTGTCCAAATGAAGTTCTTAGCAATGCATATTACTAATCAAAAATTAAGTTTTGATATATTTACGGTAGGCAATTTACAAAATATCTTCATGGAACATGATCTTTACTTACTATCCTAATGATTTTTGGCATAAAATAAAAATCGATAATTTTGACCCATACAATGTATTTTTGGCTATTGCTACAAATATACCCCAGCGACTTAAGACTGGGTTTGTGCTCCAGGGTCACATATAGCAAATACATTTTGGGGTGAATTAGATCATATATAATTAGATAAACCCACGAAATCACAAAAATAGTTCCGTTATATAAAAAAGTAACATTTCTCTTTAACATCTCTTTTCATTGAGCTGATGCATTCAGAGGCGATGCATTCTCTTTTCTGCATGCTATTCTTGCAGTTTTTAATTTGCCAAAACAAATAAGGTGTGTAATAAAGGGGCGTAATTTTGGAGCAGGAGTTAGCGCGTTATGGTTTGATGCTGGTCATGCTAATGCATTTTGCATGCATTTCCTTTTTTTGCGATATTGCATGAAAATATGACACGTTTTATAGTCATCTGAGAAAAATAACGTTCAATTCATTCAGTGCATTGTTATGGGCAAGCAGTACTTTTTGTGACACTTATTGACCAACTATTAGTCTCCATGAACTGGATGTTTTGCTCTCTCTCTGTGTTTTTCAGCTGTTTGATGAGTCTCAGGGAGGACCTGCTGTTGTGGTGATGGATAACGGCTGTGGAATGACATCTAAACAGCTGAACAACTGGGCCGTTTATCGTCTATCTAAGTTCATACGAGAAAACAGCATAAAGAGGTGTGCTCTTCAGAAAACCTGTGCTTTTTCTTGCCTACGACTCATTATTCTGGTCATGCAATGCAGATTCGAGCCTCTTCCGATGTGAAATAATAATCTAGCTGAACTGTACTGATTGTGTGATGCCTATAACATGGTCTTATGGAGCTTGCCTTGATAAAACCATCAGCTTTTTTCCTCCTCTTTGTTGTTGACGCAGTGAAGAAACCGGTTACGTGCGGCCGGATCCGGTTCCACGCAGTCTGAACAGTGACATCTCGTATTTTGGAGTCGGAGGCAAACAGGCTGTGTTTTACATCGGCCAGTCTGTCAGAGTATGTTTGCATGCAGTTTGTTCACTTTTATTTAACAAATGTCACACTTGCAATTAGGGATATGCCGGTATCAAATTCTAATGTTGCGAATAATTGCTAATGCTTTTATCATGGTGTGCGGTATTATCACGATATCGTGCATATTCATTACCGTGATATATCGCATTACCGAATACCGGCACAAGTCTAGTTGCAATACATCTATTGTGTTCATTTGCATCAGTTTTCATTAAAGCACAAGTGCTTTCTCCTATCCCAGATTAATATGCGGAGACAACAAGTGAGCAAGAAGTGTGAACACTAGGGCTGGGTATCGTGTTCGTTACTTTTTAGGCACAGAGCGAATTGCCTCAATACCATTGAGTATCGAAAAGTGTCTTGTCGTTCGGTACCAAATTTCGATTTATAAAACGGAGAGTGACAGAAATATTTTACTATTGTATACTAAAATATAATTCTCAAATATTATTATTTTTAATAAATATATAACCAAGCAATTTTTTTCCCGTTAATTTATACAGTTCTGTTGTGCAGCATTTTGCTTGACAATAAAATGCAAGGCGTTGTTGTAAACTAATTTCATTTCATTACATTTTAAAAGAATGATCAAACTGATCGTTTTATTAATTCATTTAATTAGACACCATTTTTTTTATGATAAATTAGTATTGAATCATAAAACATAGAATCTAGAAAAATTTAAATGGAAAACAGAACTTAGGGGAAAATAAAATGCATTTCATGGGGCCCTAAAATAAAAGTTATCTTACTCTGTGGAGTTTAATTATGAACAAACAAAGTTATGTTTACATTTATTCTCAAGATCTAACAAAAATGTGGAAGGTATTTCCTCCCCCCATTAACGGTAAATGAATATCGCGATAAATATCGATATCGTATGATATGGAAAAAATACTGTGGTAATATTTTTGGCAATGTCGCCCAGCCCCGTTATAAAATATTAAAAAATATCTTAATTTGATAAGAACAAAATGAGTTTGGAGTAACTTGAGTGTGAGTAAACGATGACAGAATTTATTATAAGATGAACTAACCCTTTAAGACAGGGAAGTGTTCACAGAAGTGTCCCTTGAGCAATGACAAATTAACCCTATAAAGCCTACTGTATCATATTTGACATGCACATTTCTACGATATGATATTTACAACTTCTACAACTCTACTGCATGCCCTCTGTTGTCTGATTGATAGTTTCTACTTTTTTAGCAAGTAAATGTTTGCATGGACAGTCATTTATCGTTATTTACTCACTCACTCTCACTTATGCTGTATTTTTTTTATGCAGCTCTTTCCATATATTGACAGTTCACAGTGTTATCACATTTAATTTTGTGTAAACTATGCTTTTGATCCAATGTGTGTTTCAGATGATCAGTAAGCCTGCAGGCTCTCCAGATGTTCATGAATTTGTCATGTCTAAAGAAGACTTTGAGCGCAAGGAGATGAACAGGGAAGACATTTACACTGGCTTCATTAGAAACAGGAAGGTGAGGGAAATTCAAGTCATCTCGTGGCTTTGTTGGCCCCTGGTTTTTATTTTTAAATGTTTATGGGTCAAAGACGTTAAGATGTCCGCATCAAAATAAATTTACAAAAGTGATTTTATGTATATAGAAAGCACATTAAATGTAAGTAAAGTGTCCACTTTTAAGGTTTCAAATAAGTTTTTGGAGAATAAAATGTCAAATTTTTGGTTGAAATAATGTTACATTGTCATTCAGTCTAACACAATATTTATGTAAAAATTCAAACATGCTTATTCTGACGCGTACATATTAAAATATATAAAAGAATAAGGGAGCATATTCAATTTGATTGTGTTTTAAATGAGTAAAAAATTCTTACTGACAAACGGGCAAAACCTAGGATAGTGGCAAATTTAAAAATGTAAAATTACAACTAATAAATATTTGGGGTGAAAGTAATTAGTCTTTTAATATGCCATAATTGATTTTTGTTGTAAATATGCCTGACAAGACTGTTACACTGAATGACATTTTAGTGGGTCTCTCTCTTCTCTAAATCAGGGAAAAATGTATGATATTTATTTTTTTGCTCGGAAAAACAAAAACAAAATTGCAATTAAATTAAACAGAAAACTTTGTATTTTTCGGGGGGGAAAACAACAATTTAAAGCAGTATTACACTTATTTTTTATGCTTAAACCCTTTTTTGTCTTTGACCCTTATGCGTGTGTGTTTTCTTTTGCAGCCTGCCGATTGCTCGCATGTGAGTGAAAGCGAGGAGCAGTTTCTGCAGTCCATTGTGATGGAAGAAAAAGAAAAGGAGAGTTTTACTGCAGTTATCATCACTGGAGTCCAACAGGAACACGTCACTTACCTGAAAGACAATTTCAATCTGTGGACCAGAGAGTTGGCGTACGTCTCAAATGCACATACATGAACTCCTCCCTTAGATCAGCGTATTGTTTTATTTATTTATTTTTTCTAGTTTTTGCATGAGAGTTGTTGCTTAAAATGTTAAGAGTTATATTAGTAGGAGTAGAAGTTTTTCTAAAGGTTAACCTTTTTGTCTCACATTGTTCGCAATGATGTTTAAAGCCCCCCTAACCTTAGTTTTGTTTTTATATTTCATATTTTGGCAGGATCTGTAAATAAAAAATTAATTAAAATAATTCTAAAGTTTAAAACTAAATTTCATATATTAGAGTTACAGTTTACATATCATTTATGCATTTAGCAGGTGATTTATCCAAATAAATCATTTTATCGTAATGTTACTGGATAAGGATATTTGAAATATTTTTTAATTCGCAATTGCTGCTGAATAAAACATTTTAGAGCTTGGCATAATTAGAGAACTGTGTATGTTATAAAATAATGGACATGGAGTTTTATGATTTTATTAATTTCCATGACTTTTTCTGGTGTAGAAAGCAAACGTATATCTCGGTTTTACAAGACATTGGGAATCCTGGTTCTTCAAAGAAAGAAAGAAAAAAAAAAGAATTCTTGAAGGGTGAATTAAAATAAGAAGTCTTAATTTTTAGTTGTTTTAGTTTATTTTAATAGGTTAATCATTGTTTGCTTCACACAGCAATGAGCACAGCTAGACCTTTTACATCTGATTTGGAAACATATGTCTTTTATGAGCCAATTCTTTTTATCCCTGCATCCAAGATGTAGATGAGTTTATTTCTTCATCAGATTTGGAGAAATGTAGCATTGCATCACTTGCTCAGCAATGGATCCTCTGCAGTGAATGGGTGCCGTCAGAATGAGAGTCCAAACAGCTGATAAAAACATCACAATAATCCACAAGTAATCCACACCACTCCAGACCATCAATTAATGTCTTGTGAAGAGAAAAGCTGCGTGTTTGTAATATATTCATCATGAAGAAGTTTTACTTTTACGCTATAGTCCATAATATTGCTTTCTGCAGTGGAAAAGTCCGTCCCCTGTTATCTCTGACTTCAAAATCCACCCACATATTTGTTTAGAGCTGTTTTAGCTTGTAAACGGTGCTTGATCTGTGCAGATTTCTCTCCTGATTCAGACGAGGCGACTTTTTTCACTGAAGGAAGTGTGAATATGGATTATGGAGTCTTTTATGGATTATGGATTATTTTAGCCAAAAGCTATGATTTGAAGTTTGAGAAACAAATCCAACATCTTAATGATGGATTTGTTTTTTACAAACACACAGCTTTTCTCTTCTCAAGACATTAACTGATGGACTGGAGTGGTGTGGATTATTGTGATGTTTTTATCAGCTGTTTGGACTCTCATTCTGACGGCACCCATTCACTGCAGAGGATCCATTGCTGAGCAACTGATGCAATGCTACATTTCTCCAAATCTGATGAAGAAACAAACTCATCTACATCTTGCATGGCTCAAGGGTGAGTTCATTTTCATTTATGGGTGAACTGGTCCTTTAAGGCCAGCCTTGGGCCACTGAATGCCGTTTGTTTCATTTCAGACATACTTACCATTACTATATACACGGAGTTCATGGAAACGACCAGAGGGAAACGAGAAAAAATGACCACGTCTCCAACATTGACATTCAGGTACAGATGTGTATGTGTTTGTGGCTCTAAATGCATTGATCATTCAGTTTTTGAGTGCTTTAGAGTCCTTGTTTTTCTCTTGAAGCTCTTTCTCTCTTATTTCTCAGATCAGTTTGGTGGAGCGCTCTCCTCGAATCCCGCGTATGATGAATCTGAGGGAGGTGGATAATGACATGCAGACTCTGTACATCAACTCCAGTTTTTCCACTTTTGAGTTTAAAGCCACCGGCGCTAGAGACTCCTTTGTGGAAGGATTGATCCGTTATCACCCGTTCCTCTATGATCAGGAAACATACCCAGTGGATCCATATGCATTAGGTATTGTAAATCATAAATTGGCCGTTGCACACTGATTGCAGTGTCGAAAGAGATGCTCTGATAATAGATGATTATACTAGCTGAAATAGTGTGCATTCCTAGATATCTTTTCTATGTTGGTCTGTGTGTTTGTATTTTAGGTCCTTCAGAGGATGAGGACGAAGAGTGTGTAATTTTGAACTCTGAAGCTCGGGGCAAACGTCCGGTCTTTGAGTGCTTCTGGAATGGGCGGCTCATTCCCTACACCACTGTCTCAGAGTAAATGTCTGCTTAATTTTGAATGTCCTTTGCAGTTGATAAATCTTCTCTTCTCAACCTGTTTTTTGCAACTTCGCTGACGCAGTGAGCATTTCATTGTTTGATGGTTGTTTTAATTACATTTTTTTTTTTTAGTTCCTTCAATCCTTATAAGCGTTTCATCATTTTTGACTTTTCAGTGTCAGTTAAATTTCTGGCGTATTTTACCTGTAGAAAAAAACATATAGAAAACCTAATAATTATTCACATCTGAATATAAGGAGCTTCATCAACAAAACAATTACATATCACCTATATGTGATTATACAACCTTAATACTAATTATTAAGATTGATGTGGTTTGGAATTAGTCCAATGTGCTTGGAACAAATATTTGATCAGAATATTAATTTGCCTGATAATTACATGCGTGTAGGGCTGTCAAGTCATTAAAGTTTTTAATCTAATTACATGATATGCTGATTAATTAATCTAATTAGTCAAACATAAATTTTGGCTTAGAAATTACCGCCTGAAAGATTAAGTCATTATAGTGTTAGATGAGAAAAGCATTGACAAAAAGTAGCTTTAGAAAGAAATGCATAATAATGATAATAAATGGGTATTAATGTTAATATTAATATAGGAAATGATTAAAAAAAATGTAACGATACTCCCAATATCAAACTGAAACTGCCAGTATAACACGTTATTAACTTCTTGTTTGTTGAACTATAGTAAAAAAAAAAAATCATTATCACATTTGCAGTTGTGCAAATGTGGGGAAAACTACACTCTTGCTCATGTGATATTGCCAAACATATATCATATGTTATAAATACAAGACCAAAAAAAAAAGTACAGGCCAATTTTTTGCCCTCATATCTTGAATTTTAGGCTTATATAAGTGCATTCTAATAGGCTTCATCACACAGACAGTCAGTCGTCCTGAATCATGCTCATCAGCGACCGCATCAATGTAAGATGATTTACAGGTGTAGGTGGGGTGTGTTAAATGCGTTAATTTTAATATTGTTTTTTTATGTTATAATACGCATTTATGCATTGTGTCGACACTATTGAAACAGTTCAGACATTTGGCTCTATTCACTTTGACTGTAAGTGCCTTACTGTAATTTCAGTTTTTGCTTTTTTTTTAAAGAAAAGGAGGGAAGAGTCAAAATAAAATTTGAATGTAATCATCATTGTCATAAATGTTGTCAGTTGAGTCTGAAATATGTCTTTATTCAAATTAAATATAGTGCTAAAACACATTTCTGGATTGCTGTGGATGAAGAGGTAGTTATTGGTGGGGCTTTTGGGGGTAAAATGCTGCTTTAAGAGGACATCAAATATCAAAAATAGCACTGAAGGCAAGCAAGACTTTTGCCTAAACTGGATGGTAACGTGTGTGTGTGTGTGTGTGTGTGTGTGTGTGTGTGTGTGTGTGTTAGGTTCGAGTGGTGTGCAAGGCCTAAGAAAGTAGGTGCAGTGCCGCTGGAGTGTTATAACCGGATTTCAGGAGTTCTCTTCGCCAACGACCGATTCCAAGTCAGTACCAACAAACTTACCTTCATGGACCTGGAGCTTCAACTCCGTGACAGCAACACCATTTTTACCAGAGTGCACAATGGCCAGGTACAGAAACACACGCCTGAACTCTGAAAGACATGCACGTGATTCAAAGCTCAGTTCACACAGTCTGTGCTGTTTTATGCAGGAGCTGCGGGTGAATATTCAGAGGGAGTTTACTAACTGGTTAAAAGAATGTCATGAGCGCTTCGACAAGCAGGTATGTGTAAGGCCAGGGCAGCAAACGCAGGTGTAACTGCACGATCAGTGCATTGTAAGTGCTTAATGCACGCTTTTGCATGTATAAATATTAAATATTTGGTGAGGAAAATCCCTCAAATCAAAGGCATTGCATTTATTGTGCTTAGTGTGTGTGGGGACGTGTGTGTGTGTGTGTGTGTGTGTGTGTGTGTGTGTGTGTGTGTTAGGTTCGAGTGGTGTGCAAGGCCTAAGAAAGTAGGTGCAGTGCCGCTGGAGTGTTATAACCGGATTTCAGGAGTTCTCTTCGCCAACGACCGATTCCAAGTCAGTACCAACAAACTTACCTTCATGGACCTGGAGCTTCAACTCCGTGACAGCAACACCATTTTTACCAGAGTGCACAATGGCCAGGTACAGAAACACACGCCTGAACTCTGAAAGACATGCACGTGATTCAAAGCTCAGTTCACACAGTCTGTGCTGTTTTATGCAGGAGCTGCGGGTGAATATTCAGAGGGAGTTTACTAACTGGTTAAAAGAATGTCATGAGCGCTTCGACAAGCAGGTATGTGTAAGGCCAGGGCAGCAAACGCAGGTGTAACTGCACGATCAGTGCATTGTAAGTGCTTAATGCACGCTTTTGCATGTATAAATATTAAATATTTGGTGAGGAAAATCCCTCAAATCAAAGGCATTGCATTTATTGTGACAGATGAAAGCGTAAAATATTAAAATTTTTAAAAAATTGGCTTTATAAGTCAAATAGAAGGGTTGTTTTTTTATTATTGTTATTATTATACTGAATATAAGCCTATCACTGGCCTACAGTCCACAGCAATCAATTTCGTAACTGTGTTGCCAACAAATACCAAAGTTTTGAAGCTTCCATAGTTAGAACAAAACTGAATTATATTCACTCACTCCAGTATTTTATCATGTTATTCTGGTTAGACATTGAGATGGCAACAACTAGTTTTTTTTTTTTTGTGTTTGTTTGCAGGTGATGTTTCAGGGATTTAAGGGTTCGATGACGCGTACAGATGTGCCCACCAAACGGCAACAGTCACCCTGGGCTATATTCCAAGCCATTAAGTGGGATGGCAAGACTTATAAGAAAGGACAATGTGTGAGATTGAGTAGTTTTCATATTTTCACACGTAGTCATAGACGACACCAGTGTAGAGGAGTCGTAGAAAATGACTGATTACTTTTGCATAATAACTGAATGTGGATTATTGTAGGCAAAATAAAGCTGAACATTCTGTAAAGGCCCGTTCACACCAAGAACAATAAAGATATAGTTCTAAAAATCATTCTCAATATTAAAGAATAGCATAGTTCACACCACAACTATAACGATAAAGACAAAGAGAAACAATATCGTTGCAATCACTTTCAAAACTATTTTTCTCCAGCTGATGAACGATGAAAAATTGACAGCCAATCAGAATCCATCCTGCTGTAACAAGCTCGAGAATTTAAAGCAGCAGACGAGCGTGCGTTTAGAATAAACAGATGATATTGTTCGCTGGTGTGGATGCTAATATCGTTATCGTTCTTGGTGTGAACAGGGCTTTAGTGTGGTGATTCCACAGTATTTTCCCAGCTGTTGTAAAGCATCATACAGACTGTATAAATGTGTAATTAGTATCTTTAGTTGTGTCAAGAAAGTCTGTAACATAAATATGTGTATATGAATCAGGTCATTTATTAAATTATGAATCATAGGTTGTAATTCTAGGCATCTCAGATATTTTCTTTCACACTTTTAGGTGAAGTCAGTAAAGACGAACCCTGTCTTCGTTGGCTCTATAGTTCATTTCTTGCTCTACGGAGAGCATGAAGGAGACGTGTACGCCACAGGAGGATATGTCCAGATTGCACTGGTGAGGATGATTCAGCTCACTCGTCCATTTACTCTGTATGGATGCAGTGTGGTCACATGTTTTTCCTCTGCCTCTGAGTGTGCTTGAATGTAGGAATGCACCGATATGAACATTTTGGCCGATACCGCTAACCGATAATTCTTTGTATTTGAAAGCCGATAACCAATATGTTGGTATAAATCCAAATTTTTTGATAATTTTTAAAAGCCTGATTACAGAAACAAACCATCAATAGCCATGTCCCAAGCACTTTTACATGGATCAAACATATCCAGTACAGTAGCCTAGTTTTAAAATTAATTTTAGACCCCTATTGTCTCCTTATATAGCCAATATGACAGACCATTGCCATGCACATGTTGAATTTAACTGTATTTTCTTTTTCGAAATGATTCCAATCATATTTCAAGCAATTCTAAACCTTAATGGTGAACAGTTTGCATCTGAAGTGTTTCAGCTGAGGGAAATAATCCATTATTAATCGGCTTTAATATATCAACCAAATTTTCTTATCGGGTCGATAACGATAATATTAAAAATTGCGGCTTTTTACTTTGGTATACGTCTCTGTGATGTGTTTTCATAGGAACCGAAGGAGTTGTATGATGAGGTAAGGATCATTCCCATCTCTAAGATCGACAGGCTGGCCGCAGCCACAACCATTAAGAAGAAAATCGAAGATGAGCTCGCAAAGTAAGACCTGCTGCTGGATTCTGCATTTCACCTTAACAGTAAAGAGAATTAAAGAGCATCTGCTCTGAGTTTGGGTCGCTTTATTGTGCATTTGGAAACACCAACCATCTCCTCATACTTGTAATGAGAAGCACTTATCAACAAAAGAGCAGCTTTAAGGGCTTCTTGTGGTTCTCCATCAAAATAAAAGTTTGATGCTTTAACATTTGAGAATGAAAAAATTAAGACAGCCGTAAATGTCAATATTGTAATAAATAATGTACAATAAAATGATTATCTTATGTTTTACTTGCTTATAATATATGTACAGTATATAGTACACTGACTTTCAAAAGATTGGGATCAGTAAGATTTTTCAGCATAAATCAGCATATTAGAATGATTTCTGAAGATCATGTGACACTGAAGACTGGAGTAATGATGCTGAAAATTCAGCTTTGATCACAGAAATAAATGATATTTTAAAGTATATTAAAATAGGAAACAGTTATCTTAAATTGAAATAATATTTCACAATTTTAATGTTTTTTTTCTGTATTTCTGTATTTTTGATTAAATAAATGCAGCCTTGATGAGCATAGCATTTCACAGTTTTATAGTTTAACTCGTAGTTAACTGCTACTATATATATAGTTAACTATAATTGAATAATACTATAATAATTTTGGCCAAATTGTGCAGCCATACAAGCAAACACAGCAAACCTAGATTCTTTTTTTTTTTTTATCGCAATCACAGTTTTATCTGTATAATCGGTAACCCTAGCTTATTCTGTTCTTTTTTTCTTTTAAAATTATTTTCTTGTCATCAGACTTCCAGACCAGCTGAGGGTTACGTGGCCTGAGGGAAATGCGTGGGCTGAGGATGATGCTCGTCCGGCTGGCACACTCATGGGTGAACAAACTCACACACATACAAACACTTTGCAGTGCAAAACTTACAGTATGCATTGGCCGACAATATTAACTTTATTACATGATTTAAAAAGCCCATAATATGCTTTCACCAAAAATAGCTTCTGCACCTAATCCTGCACTACAGACCTGTAGAGAAATTGCCTTGACTTTGAGTTTGTAGTATAAATCTGTTCTTTTTCAGGTCCGATTAAAGTGGAGATTTTGAACAAAAAAGGAGATTCAGTGTCTCGGCTGCCCGTGGCTGGCACTACTAAGAAACTGTTGATTGAGCTGAAAGTCATCTGGCACTGTGAGTCACATTTACTGCATTATTGTTTGTAGTCAGGGCATGTAATTTTATCATGTTTTTTTGTATGCATGTGTATATTTATATATGCAACGACATGCGTATTATTCATATATATTTTTGTAATGTTTATGCACAGTATGCTTGTGACATACAGTATTTTTATCTCCTTCAGCTCCTAAAGGAGACGTCCAGACGAACTCCTACATTGGTGCTCATTCATCCAAGTGGGAATACTGGTTCAAGTCCATGGGTAAAAATCAGCGAATCATCATGTGTTCATATTCGATTCCATTCATTCACCATATTTATGCCCATCAACAGGGCAAAGTAATGCTGGTGATTGCAAAAGCATATGAATGGAGATATCAAGAAAAAAAAAGATGAATATTGGATTTGATCCATACCAGGTCCATTCGTAGACATTTATATGTATTTAATCCACAATCCCTCTTTATTTATAGCATTGCATGCAGAGAGAGGCAGGGTAACACTTTATTTTAAGGTGTCCATGTTACACATGCTACATGTACTTACTATTATAATAACAATTAAATATGCATAATTACATGCAAGTAACCCTAAACTAAACCCTAATCCTAACCCTAACTATATAGTAAGTACGTGTAGTTAATTAATATTACACAGTACTTATAGTTCCAATATTTACTAATATTTTCAAAATCAAAAGTTGAGTAATGATGCTGAAAATTCAGCTTTGATCACAGAAATAAATGATATTTTAAAGTATATTAAAATAGGAAACAGTTATCTTAAATTGAAATAATATTTCACAATTTTAATGTTTTTTTTCTGTATTTCTGTATTTTTGATTAAATAAATGCAGCCTTGATGAGCATAGCATTTCACAGTTTTATAGTTTAACTCGTAGTTAACTGCTACTATATATATAGTTAACTATAATTGAATAATACTATAATAATTTTGGCCAAATTGTGCAGCCATACAAGCAAACACAGCAAACCTAGATTCTTTTTTTTTTTTTATCGCAATCACAGTTTTATCTGTATAATCGGTAACCCTAGCTTATTCTGTTCTTTTTTTCTTTTAAAATTATTTTCTTGTCATCAGACTTCCAGACCAGCTGAGGGTTACGTGGCCTGAGGGAAATGCGTGGGCTGAGGATGATGCTCGTCCGGCTGGCACACTCATGGGTGAACAAACTCACACACATACAAACACTTTGCAGTGCAAAACTTACAGTATGCATTGGCCGACAATATTAACTTTATTACATGATTTAAAAAGCCCATAATATGCTTTCACCAAAAATAGCTTCTGCACCTAATCCTGCACTACAGACCTGTAGAGAAATTGCCTTGACTTTGAGTTTGTAGTATAAATCTGTTCTTTTTCAGGTCCGATTAAAGTGGAGATTTTGAACAAAAAAGGAGATTCAGTGTCTCGGCTGCCCGTGGCTGGCACTACTAAGAAACTGTTGATTGAGCTGAAAGTCATCTGGCACTGTGAGTCACATTTACTGCATTATTGTTTGTAGTCAGGGCATGTAATTTTATCATGTTTTTTTGTATGCATGTGTATATTTATATATGCAACGACATGCGTATTATTCATATATATTTTTGTAATGTTTATGCACAGTATGCTTGTGACATACAGTATTTTTATCTCCTTCAGCTCCTAAAGGAGACGTCCAGACGAACTCCTACATTGGTGCTCATTCATCCAAGTGGGAATACTGGTTCAAGTCCATGGGTAAAAATCAGCGAATCATCATGTGTTCATATTCGATTCCATTCATTCACCATATTTATGCCCATCAACAGGGCAAAGTAATGCTGGTGATTGCAAAAGCATATGAATGGAGATATCAAGAAAAAAAAAGATGAATATTGGATTTGATCCATACCAGGTCCATTCGTAGACATTTATATGTATTTAATCCACAATCCCTCTTTATTTATAGCATTGCATGCAGAGAGAGGCAGGGTAACACTTTATTTTAAGGTGTCCATGTTACACATGCTACATGTACTTACTATTATAATAACAATTAAATATGCATAATTACATGCAAGTAACCCTAAACTAAACCCTAATCCTAACCCTAACTATATAGTAAGTACGTGTAGTTAATTAATATTACACAGTACTTATAGTTCCAATATTTACTAATATTTTCAAAATCAAAAGTTGTATCTGTTATTTAATGTACCTAAGCTAACATGATCTAACAATGAACAGTTGTATTTTAATTAACTAACATTAACAAAGATTGTAATTTAATACTGTAATGTATTGCTCATTGTTAGTAATGTATTAACTAATATTATCTAATGGGACCTTATTGTAAAGTGTTACTGCTATATTTTGTACGTGATTAAAACATGCTTCTTTTAAACATGATATATATATATATATATATATATATATATATATATAAATGCTTCAGCATACAAAAAA